AAAAAAAAAAAAAAAAAAAAAAAAAAAAAAAAAAAAAAAAAAAAAAAAAAAATATCTTGATTAATAAATAACACTGTATAAAAAAAAGTCAAAAAGGTCTTGAGCTTTTCATATCACACTGATGACGCTTGACACTTGATGTGCGTCGCGTACGCACGAGCAAACGACAATACAAATTATGTTACATTGAATAACGTGATTGAAAAATTTTTTTTTTTTTTATTCTCAAATACAATATAATCCTTGCACGTGAGTACGCGCGTGCAAAGTGCAAAAGCGTTCAAGGAGACTCCCATCCCCGATCCCCGCCAGCCCCGCCGAGTTCGAGCCGCAAGCAACCCCGGGATTTTTTCTCAGGTCCTGATAAAAAGAAACAATAAACGTCTATCCAAAAACAGTATATGTGTGAAAATCCATATATAAATATATGTGTATTTATCTCACGATTCACCGTACGAGTTTCACTACCCGCAAAAACCGCGCTAAAAAGCAAAACTGATGATGGTGAGCACCGAGTCCAATTGTTTCTTTTTTCTCTCTATCTTTCACACACTCTCTCTCTCTCTCTCTATCTTTCTCTATCTCTCTGTTTTCTCTCGCTTCTTTTTTTTTTTTTCTCTCTTTCTTTCTTTTTTTTCCATTTCATTTTTCTCTTCTCACTCTCGCGTTTGACATTTTGTCTAATTTTCTCTAATACTTTGAACAAAAAAAAAAAAAAAAAAAGATAGTTCTTCAAAATAGTGCCACTAATTGCTTCCCGCGCACCGTTTACGGTTATTTTTTATTGTCCTGCACGGCCTTCTATCGACGACCTAACCCTCTAACCCTCGCTAACCCCGAACGCAGTCTCCGTTTATTTATTAATTTTTTTAATTTCAGAAAATGGACAAAAAAAAAATTAACTCCATCTCCTTTCTATACATAGTGAAACTTGCTCTATCGCTCACGCTCACTCTCTCTACCGCTCACTGTCCTTTCTCTATTTCTCATCTTTCTCTCTACCTATCTTTTAAACTTTTTTTTTTTTTTTTATGAGTCGCTGTAATTAGTGATTTTAGAATTTTTTTTCTTTTACTATTATGTTTCTCTACTTCTCTTTCTATCTATTTTTTGTCTTTGACGTTTTATTTTGTTTAATTTGAATACTTTTGTATCTGGTATTTCTGTCGCTGTTTAGTGTAACTTATGATAATTTTTTTTTTTTTTCTGTATACATATAAATAGTTTGGTCATTATATTTGGTACGCACCAACATCCGCTTCTCGGCTCTCCTCTCGGGGCTCGGCGGGAGCCACGTCGGGTGGTTGGGGGACACTAACCTGTACTAACACGTGCCTAACAACAATTTTGAGAAAAACAACAACGTCTATCAAACTGTAGCGAGGAACACTGGATTATTGAATCTGTTTTTTTTTTTTTTTTTTTTTTTCATTCATCCTCCTTCGTTTATCGCACGTCTAGCCAGAGAGCAGGACATTTTTTTTTTTTTTTTTTTTTTTTTTTTTTTCATTCATCCATTCATTCATTCGCTAACAAATGCCAAAAAATTAGACTATCCACCCACTTAACTCTTACGAGACTCGGAAAAAAAAAAAAATTTAACATGTTCCTCGCGTCAGGACTATTGTTGTTCAGTACCTATACGTATTTCTCAACAAAAAATAAAACTCTGTGTACAAGTGGTTTCGTTTCTTTGGCAAAGTTGTTTTCTCTTCGCTTTGTTGTTGTGATAATTATTATTATTATTATCTTAAAATTTAAGAGGTTAATTTTCATATAGTGAGTACAATTAGGATAACCAAATTGTGCAATAAAATATTGAAAAATTTAAATTAATCCTTGAGTAAGTGTTCGTTTTGATATAAATTTATAAACATCCAGCCATATCACAATCTTTCAATCAGCTCTCTAAATTTTTGTCATACCGATTCGTTCGTAGTATATTCCAGGGCTTGTTTCAAGTGGTTCTATGCTATAGTGGCCATAATTAGCATAGTCTAAATCTGCACAACCCTTAAGCAGTACTGTCATTAAGATGGCCAATATAATCTGCATTGCTGTATTTTTTTTCTTTTTTTAAAAGACTTGTAGAATAATGTTGTTACAGGGATATAATTATAAGGGAACTGGTTTTAATTTATCCATGTTTTTCCGTACGATTTTACCATTGGTTTTTTTAAGTAACACATTATTTCCCTCTCAAACTGTATTAACCTTTAGAGGTTTATTATAAAGTGATCAAATTTATGGAAACGTACTTATTTTTTTACCCACACGTAATCTTCTGGCTTGAAATTTAGAGGCTTTAATTTTTCATCATATCTGGTTTTTGCTTGTAGTTTCATCTTTATTTGTTGTTAATTTTATTTTTTTTTTTGTCACAA